ACATCCTGTAATGTTGTTATAAATTATTTTTTCTATTTCAAATTGAAATTTGTATTTTTTATTTTTTATTGCAAACATATTTTGTCGTTTCAAATAACTTTGGTAGTTTGCAGTTTACAGTTTGCACTTCATTCTTTATCATTTTTCGTGTACAATTCGCCTTCAGTGTTTGTATTTGCAGTTTGTAATTAGTGGTTGTTAATGTTAGCAAACTATTACTTACAATCATTATCACATTTTGTTTCATATTTAACATCCACTGCAAAAACAAGAATCAAGTATTGTTCAACAAGATCTAAAAAAGGAAAAACAATATTAAATGCATGCGGACGTGCACAAAATCAATGTCAATGTGTGATAATAATCTTATAATTTAATTTTCACTTATAAGTTGCAATTTGCAGTTTTCTATTTTATGTTGCAAATTTATTATGTTGTTCATATTTTTACTTTGTTGTTTGTTCAAGTAAAACTCATTAGAAAATGCAAACAAAAAAATACAATATTGTCGAGAACATACAAAATAACAATTAAAATCCAACACATATGATCTCAAGAAAATTAATAATTGAAAGATTGCTATAAAATACTTATGTAAAAAAAATTAAATATTTTTATAAAGTAATAAAGAATTAATTTTCAAATTAGTTGCCTTGAGAGAGAGAAAGAAATACGTGTGTGTGTATGTGTGTGTGTGTGAGAGAGAGAGAGAGAGAGAGAGAGAGAGAGAGAGAGAGAGAGAGAGAGAGAGAGAGAGAGAGAGAGAGAGAGAGAGAGAGAGAGATGCATGTAGTTGTGATGGACCGTGTAGAAAGGAGAGAGAGTGAGAGATTTGTGGGATTTGTTCCCCTAATTTCTAAAATAACTATTTATAAATAAATATTAATTGGGGGCATATATGTCTATACACTAATAATTTAATTTAATTTAATTGATCAAGGACCTACACCTATATTCATCTAATAGATCTAATAGATTAGATCTCCACCTATATAAGTCTAGAATAAGGGGTGTCTAGCCAATTTCCCCTAGTAATAAATGTCTCAGCATTCTGCATAACAATCACTATTTTAGCAATGATAAAGTGTTGAGGTTACTATGTGTGACTCTTGTATCGTTGGAAAGCAAACTCGTGTTACTTTTCAACCAACCTCTTCCCCCAATCCCTCTAAATGTTCTGATATTCTTGAGTATGTGCATGCTGATGTGTGGGGTCCTGCCAGTGTTCCTACACATGGTGGGAACTGTTACATTCTGTCCATAATTGATGATTTCTCTCGTAAGGTGTTTGTCTTCCTGTTGAAACAAAAATCTGATGTTATTGATAAGTTCAAAACATGGAAAGTTTATATTGAGAATCAAACATGAAAACGGATAAAAACCCTTAGGACAGATAACGGTACAGAATTTTGTAATCAAAAAATGGATGTTATGTTCTCTGAATCTGGTATTAAAAGGCACAAAACTGTTCCTTATTCCCCTCAGCAAAACGGGGTGGTTGAACGCATGAATCGAACTCTTTTAGAGACGGTTCGAGCCATGCTCGCCACTTCGGGTTTACCAACTATGTGTTGGGGTCAGGCTGTTTTGACTGCTACCTATTTGATTAATAGATCTCCCTTTGTGCCTTTAAATGGTGATCTGCCTGAATGTGTTTGGTCGAGTAAAAAGGTTGATTTGTCCAACTTGCGTGTTTTTGGTTGTGCTGCATTTATGCATCATAAAAGTGACAAGCTTGAACCTCGTTCTGTGAAATGTGTTTTCTTGGGTTATCCCGAAGGGGTTAAAGGTTATAGACTTTGGGTTAAAGGGGATCATGGCTATAGAACTGCTATTAATCTTGATGTGATTTTTAATGAATCTGATTTTCCTTGCCTTGTTGTGCATAATGCTGTGAATTCAGAGGCTGCTTCAAATGAGGTGGAGCTGCCTACTGTTAAATCTGAAAATCTGTCTGATATTGAATCTGAATTACTTGAAAGTTTGCATGACCAAAATGTTCAACATGACTTGCCTAATGTGGATGACTTGTCTGATTATCAACTTGCTAGAGATCGACCTAGACGTGAAAATGCTAGGCCTCCACAACGTTTCGATAGTTTTCATCTTGCTTCTTATGTTTTCAATGTGTTTGAATCTATAGATAGCAATGAACCTAAAACTGTTAGGGATGCCCTAAAATCTGATAAATCAGCTGAATGGTTAAATGCTATGAAAAAAGAAATGAACTCTTTGCATGTTAATCAAACTTGGACTCTTGTTCCTAAACCTGCTAATTGCTCTTTGGTAGACTGCAAATGGTTGTTTAAGGTTAATGATGAAATAGACTCCATTAGGTATAAGGCCACGTCTTGTAGCTAAAGGTTTCACGCAAAAGGAAGGTATAAACTATACTGAAATTTTTGCTCCCATTGTTAAATTTACCACTGTTCGTATTATGCTTGCATTAGTTGCGCATTTCAATTGGGAATTAAAACAAATGGATGTAAAAACTGCTTTCTTGCATGGTGAAGATGAGCATATTTACATGAAACAGCCCGAGGGCTTCGTAGATGCTAGAAAGCCTGAATATGTGTGTTTGCTGAAAAAATCTTTATATGGCTTGAAACAATCACCTAGGCAATGGAATAAGAAATTCGATTCTTGCATGCTTTCATTGAAGTTTACAAAAAGTGATTATGACCCTTCTCTTTACTTCAAAGATACTCACTATGTGCCTATTTTCTTGTTGATCTATGTTCATGATATGCTCATAATCAGACCTTGTGTGAAATCTGTTGATCATGTGAAAATGCGTCTAAGTGAACAATTTGACATGAAATACTTAGGGGATGCTAAGAAAATATTGATCGCAACCGAGATAATAGTTTGCTGTTCTTGAATCAAATTTCTTATGTGAGTAAGAGCTTAGAAAAATTTGCCATGTCTAATGCTAAACCTGCAAACGTGCCTTTAGCTGCCCATTTTCAATTAAGTAAGGATCAGTCCCCAAGAATGAAACTGAAATTGACTGTATGCAAGATGTTCCTTATGCCAATGCGATAGGTTCTGTGATGTACTTGATGGTAAGCACTCATCCTGATATAGCTTATGCGGTAAGTTGTTTGAGCCGCTATATGTCGAACCCATGTATGCCGCATTGGGAAGATTTGAAATGGCTTCTTCGTTATTTGAAACATTCTTTGCATATGGGCCTAAGTTTTTCTAAATCTGAAATTGAAATTGAATTAATTGGCTATGTTGACTCCAACTTTGCGAATGATAGAGATAGTAGAAAATCATCCACTTCTTACGTTTTCACTTTGTGTGGATCATGAATTAGTTGGAAATCGCAACTGCAGAATATTGTAGCCCTATCTACAACCGAGGCTGAATACATCGCTGCCACCGAGGCAATGAAATAAGCTATATGGCTTAAAGGCATTCTGCGCGAAATTTGTTTTCTTAAAAAGGATGTCACTGTTTTATCGGATAGCCAATCATGAATTCAATTGTGTAAAAACCCGGTTTTCTACGACAGTACTAAACACATTGAGATTAAGTATCATTTTATTCGTAATATTGTGGAACAGGGTATTATCAAGCTGGAAAAAATCCCATCGCAATTTAATCCAGCAGATATGGGTACTAAGTGTCTCCCACTCAAAAAGTTTCGCTCTTGCTTGAAAAGCTTGAGACTAATCTCTCAATCTTAATTACTGTGTGTAATTATAGGGCTGTCTTCGTGACTGCCCCTATTTTTAATCTGTGTGATTAATGTTTTAATGTACGTTGCTGACTTCGTGTTACGTTGCTGACTTCGTGTTGTGTTGTGCAGGTACATTTAAAACGGCAATGATGACCTCATATCCCAATTTTGTCCCGATAGTCCATTTGGTCCCAGGTGGAGATTGTTAGATAAAAGGGGCCCAAATGTTTATTTGGCCCAAATTTGCTAACCACTTCGTGCAGGCCATTCCCTTGGTGTCAGCCAATCAGATCACTTGAGGCCCAAAGTAGAGTCAATATGGACCGTTGGTTGATAAGTCTCGATCTCAGCCATCCACTCTCCATATAAATATCATCCCTCTCTCACAAACACTCAAAACCCTAACCCTAGCAGATGCACCTCCTCTCTTCTCTCTCTTCTCGACGGCCGAATCTTTCGCCGGATTCCATGGCGTTCGGAGATTCGGTTGATTCTCTTTCCTTTCTTGCTGCACCTGCACGAGTATATATACATCTCTTCTTGAAGATGAAGAGAATGATCCAAATCTTCCCATCTTCTACCTTCGTGTATTAAACTTGTCTGTGGTGAGTGGTTTTGTGACTTCTGTGAGTGAGGGTAACAGATCTTGGGAAACAATGTGTGTGAGTTCGATTCGTTGGGGTTTTGGGTTGGGTTGAGACTAGAGTCGGAGTGAGGCTGAGATCTGAGCACTCGGATGATGTTTTGACTGCGGGTGTGATCTGCGAGCTTGACACCGGGAGTGTATTGGCTGCCGCCGACTGGACTCCGAACGTGGACACGGGAAACGAGGACTGAGCCGTTGCTGTGTCATCTTCTTCACCGGAGCTGAAAACGGGCAAATTTTCAGATCTGCCCCATATTAGTTCTTGTTTTATTATTATTATTATTTCTGTAATTTATTTGTTAAGTCCTAATTCCCTTCCCCTTAGGCTTATTAATCTATGTAATTCATTTGATTAAAGGTCCGTATTATTAATGCTATTTGAACGGCCACCCAACAAGCTCTCAGAATATTTGAATACATGCCTAAAAAGAACTTGGTGACCTAGAATAGCATGATGTATGTATTTAGTCAGATGGTTATTTGGAAGATTGCATTTTTATGTTATCGGAGATGATCGCGAGTCGAGTTGGAATATCGGAATACACTGTCGTGAGCATTTTGACTTGTTTGGAAGAAGTTAATTTGCAATTAGGAGAGAAAATACATGGGCTAGTGATAAAGTATGGATTCGATAACGTAGCTTCAGTGCACAACTGTCTGATTAACATGTACGCGATATGTGTCACCACTTCGTCGGCAGAGAAAATGTTTGAGAGTGCTCATGTTAAAGATGTTGTCTCGTGGAACGCCCTCATCGGCTCAATGGCAAATAGTGTTCGACCAATCAGAGCACTTGATTTCTTCTTGAAAATGTGTAGGACTGGATTATCACCTAATGAAAGAACATTCACTAACGAGTTCACCGCTTGTTCAAGGCTGCAACTTCTATCGTGTGGAGAATGCTTCCATGCAAATTTTATTAAGAAACGATACAAGTCTGATGTGTACAGCGGCACCGTTTTGGTTAATTTTTACTCGAAATATGATAAACCGCAAGAAGCGCGTGTTTGTTTCGATCGTATAACTCAGAAAAATACTGTTTCTTGGAATTCATTAATGCTGGGGTATTCGAGCATGGGTTCTTCTTTTTCCGTAACGCTGCTTCAAGAAATGATTCAGTCAGGCTATCACCCGAATGAGCTGTCATTTTCGATCGTTATTAAGTCGTCATTAAAAACGGAGTTGCTACATCTTCATTCACTGACAATCAAAAATGGCTACCATGAGAATTGTTACGTGTCAAGTTCTCTTATAAGCTCTTACGCAAGAAACGGTCTGGTGTCCGAAGCCTTGACTTTTGTCGGATCTGCTCAGACAAAGTCTTCTGTTGTTTCATCCAATATTATTGCATGGATTTATAACCGAACTGGACTGTACGAAAAAGCACAAGAATTCTATGCCGATATTGAGAATCCTGACGCGGTATCTTGGAATATTCTGATTGCAGCTTGTTCGCGGAACGGCGATTATAAAGAGACTTTCAACTCTTTAATCACATGCGCATATCTCCAATCTGTCCCGACAATTACACTTACGTGAGCCTCTTCAGTGTTTGTACCAAATTGTGTAACCTCGCTTTAGGAAGTTCTCTTCAGTCATATTCTCAAGACTTATTATGAGTTACGCGATACGTTTGTTTCCAGCACTATGATCGACATGTACGGGAAATGTGGAAGCATTGAGAGTTCGATTAAAATATTTTACGAGACGACAAGAAAGAACATTATTTCTTGGACTGCTCTTATCTCGACCCTTGGACTACATGGCTATGCAAATGAAGTGATGGAAAGATTTGGAGAGATGGTGAAAATGGGTATCGAGCCCGATAAGCTTGCCTTTTTAAGTGTTCTCTCGGCTTGTAGACATGGTGGATTGGTTAAACAGGGGACGAATTTGTATAGAGAAATGAAAGTGAAGTACGGAGTTGAACCGGATATTGACCATTATGTCCTTGTTGTCGATTTGTTGACGAGATACGGACATATAAAAGAAGCGGAGCAAGTCATTTTGGGAATGCCTATTGCACCGAATGCACTGATATGGCGTGGTTTTGTTGACGGCTGTAAGAAACAAAAAAAAATGTGGGAAGTTTTGCCTTTTCACCGTAGAGTAAGTATTTGTACTTTTGGGTTGAGTTCTCTTCACTGAGTTTAGTAACTATGATTTCAGTAAGTTTGTCGGTGCCCGTAATAGTTGCCTCTTACTTCATTTTACTTGTTTTGTGCTTTTCTTTCGTTTTCATTCTTTCCACATTTAAGAAATAAAACACATTTGCATTTTTCGTTATGGGTGATTATCAGTCTTCCGTAAACATTTTTCTTCGACGTCATTCATGTTGATTACTAGGTATTTTTAATTTGCAGAGTGAATTTGATGGTTTTTTCGTCCTTTTATACATGGTTCTTGAAATTTGAATATGCTCGTATAATTGTAATTTTCACCATGAATTTTATCACCACAAGTGTAACTACTGATATAGAGCAGTGGACTTTATAAAAGGACTTCTTGTATTCTCGAGTATCATTCTCGTCGAACAATGTATTAGTTTCACGTATTTTCTGACCAAATATAACTATTTTCATTTGAAGCAAGGACAAGCTTTTTTTTTCTTTTTAGGTTTTTTAATTGGATTAAGCTGTTAGTTTTTATGTTACTCAAAATACACCCCCACATTCTTATTTGAACTGAACTCACCCGCTCCAGGAATGGTCAACCACGTTCCAAGAAAGTCGACTGGTACAGCTAATCCAAGTTGATTGATATAGTCGACTAACCTTTAGTTAGTCGACTAATTTTTTAGTTACTCGACTAATTTGTTATCTGCATTCTTAGATAACTATTGACAATGTGCACTTCAGTATCAAAGCAACTGCAATCATGATATCAATGTAAGAAAATTTGATCTCTATCATATGATTAGTATATGTAAGAAAATTTGATGTATTGGTCATGCAAGTAATTTTTTTCTCATGCATAACGAACATTATATCAAACAAAGAACAAAGCTCTGTCAAATCCTCGATAATTGTAGTGGCTTCGTCCAGCAGCACATTTTTATATCTGTCGGTTTTGAAGATTGCATAACTATAACTTGTTTAGTAGGAAATAGTTTTTCGATTACTTCATTTCTTCATGTGAAGGATTTCAAGTCAAGAAAAAATAGCATCAAAACATTCAAACTCGAGGCTATTCTCAATCGAGGCTACAATCAATAAGAGGGTTTCCAATAGCATTGAATGCCCTAGAAACCGCATCTTCATCTGAAATATCATTCTTCATTCTTCGTCGAATAGCTTCACAAAATTCCCTCGGCAAATGGTGCCCGATATGAGGTACTTTAAGCATATCGAAAAGGGTATTGAACAACCACTCCGAGTTCAATAAACACATAATCATTGATAAATGATAACTTCAGCATAAGCACCGGAAACATAGTAATCGTAATCAATATTAGAACGACGAATCCATTCGGTTGTATCCTCAATTTAATTTTATAAGACATGCCCTGGTCACATTCACCACAAAGTTAAATATGCTTGTAGCATCGGATTTCTTGTCTGACACTAAACCGGAACTCGGATTGGCATCCGGTGAAAGTCACATTAAACTGCAAAAGACGATTTTGTAGTGAAAAAGTAGCCGCTAGAGTGAGGTATCAAAATCGAAAGCCTCTCTACAAATAAAAGAAACATCTTGGAGATATATAGTCCGTTACCCTCCAATTGATGTTATAAGTTTCAACCAATACTTTATGAAGAAACTCGTGACAAACAGATTGTTCAAACGAACTTTCTGGCTAAGTTTTTCTTCGATAATCGGACTCAACGAATGCCTTCCAAGAAGAGTTTCGAGGAAGACTTGCAATAATCCTCCGATAAAGTTCATGTTTTTAGGCTTGCCCGAGCCAAGAATTATCACCACAACATGTCCTATATGCCTGTGAATGAGTGTACCCCTTGAGCTGATATTTATAGAAATAATTTCTCCCAATAAATTCTTGGAAAATTCGGTTTCCCTTAAAGAAGGGTAAAATTCATTTTGCACCCATGTACTATGCGAAAGGTATCATTTACCCCCTAATGTGTAGAAAACATTAAACACCCCCCTATCGTTAGCCTTTTTTCCTAATTCCATTAATCAAACCCTCTGACCGGCAGTTGCAAAGAGTTGTTGGTTAATTTTTTTTCCAATGAAAATACCCAAAAGATCTTTTCATATATGTTGCTTAGTTTTGGTCCTTTTTCATCGGATTTTTCATTCTTTTTATTTGTTTTTTCCACTTTATTCAATCATTTTACACTCTTTCTAAACCTTTTTCTTTTGTATCTGCATAAAAAAACTGAAAAATCAAATCAATAAAAATGAAGCTTTGCAAAACCCACCAAAAAAACAAAAAACAAACCTAAAAACACCTAAAATTGAAATAATGTGCTCATACAACAAGTTTTTTACAAATTTCACGAAAACATTGAGAACGATAGAAATTTCGTCTAGTTTGTTTCTTTTAAAAATCACAGAGAAAGAGAGAAATCTAAGAGTGACAAAGAGGGTTGTTTAGAGACTGAATCAACCTAGAAAAAAATAGGTCATCTATGATACATAAAGTGGGGTATAAAAAGTCATTGCACAATTCAAGTTAACAGCGTTAAAAGCTTGACCATTGACCGTAAAAAATAGGGGGATGTTTGATGTTTTCTATACATTAGGGTGTAAATGATACCTTTCGCATAGTACATGGGTGCAAAATGAATTTTACGCAATAATGTCGAGGGTCTAGGGGGAAATGATGCCAAGTGATTTTGACAAGATGAACTTTGTTATATCAAAAAAATGAGTCAAGAACATACTTTGGCAGTAATTAGATGAGGCTGGATTCGTCAAGTAACAATTATAAAGAGCATAAAGAGCCTTCGAAATTCGTAGTCCAGTCGAAACTATTTCTTGATGACAACAATATTCTCGAGCAGCTGACCCAAAATGACGAGCATCAAGAGTTGCCACCTTTATTTTCAACAAAATGAACCTCTTTTCGGAATTTCGAACCCATGTTGAATTAGGGTTCTCACTCGAGTTATGTGTCAATCTCACTCCAATGTGCATTAATATAGGATCCGATTCGTAATTTCCTGGAAGGACTTCAAAAATGGGCATTGAGGAATTTTATGACAGATAGAATTTCGAACATACGAGAATTGTATTGCTTCGAACCACTATAACAGTGCATCAACTCGGACATAGTCATCCTATGACAAGATAAAATATCGAACTCGGCACAAATTGATGCATGAAAATTTTCCGAATACTTTTTTTGCTAAAAGCTCTTCTTCTTGAGGAAATGATACACCCACAGAGAGTTATTCGGTACATAAGAAATTATTAGCAAAGAAGCATTTTCAAAGTGCTTGGCCTTTTCAAGCAAATCAATCTCACGTAAAATATGCCTTAATTGTTGTGCAATCCGTACAGCCTCATTACAATTTCCCTGAAAAAAATCAATGCCTCCAAATTTGTTAAAATAATATAAATTGATACAAAATTAAAGATTTCTTGCAAATACACAAAAACTTGTGTTGAGAATTTTTTTGCAGCGGAATATAAATGACACAGGTTTTAAATCTTTATATACAAGTATATAACTTGTGCATGGAGCCTTCATAGGTGAAAAACAGTATTCAAAAGAATACAAATGAGAAGCCAAGATCTTCTCTTCTAAGAAGAAATCACATGTTGATTTCTTCGTAAACCAATTCCTAGACTATATAGCTTAACAACTCTCCAGGAATACAAAACAATATTCAAAAGAATACAAAATGAGAAGCCAAGATCTTCTCATCGAAGAAATCACAAGTTGATTTCTTCGTAAACCAATTCCTAGAGTCTATAGCTTAACAGCTCTCTAGGAATACAAAACAATATTCAAAAGAATACAAATGAGAAGCCAAGATCCTCTCTTCTAAGAAGAAATCACAAGTTGAATTCTTCGTTAACCAATTCCTAGAATATATTGCTTAACAACTCTCTAGGAATACAAAACACCATTCAAAAGAATACAAATGAGAATCAATTCTGTTGTGAGAAATCTATTAAGAAAACAAGGTGTTGGGAAAGGTATTCCAACACTCGCAGCTCTGTGCTCTCAACTCTCTGCAGAAAAAGGTGAGAAATGAACTGAGTTCTTCTCCTGTTTATAGTTTCCAAAGCTCCTTGTCCCGCACGAAATAAACACACTAGGAGAGATAATGGGTTAGTGGATTAATTAAATACGTGCTTAAATAACTACTCACTAAACTAAAAATACCACCCCCTCCCCTCCCCCCCCCCCCCCCCAACTAATTCTAGATAATGAATCCTATAATAATAATGAATTCGAAAATAGTAAAAATTGATTTAAAAAAGTCAAAACAATTAAATTATATTTGACTCAAAGGTCAAATATCCAACAACCTCCCCTTTTTGACTTTCTATCAAAACTCAATTTTTCATCGACTCCCCATGTATAAAATAATTTGAGCTCCTCCTGCATTGAACAGTTCTAATCTTCAAACTCCCCCTGAATATCAGATCACGGATAATATACAACTTAATAGCATATATTGAGATAAACGGTAATTCCAATATAGCAAAGGAGACTTCAAATATAAATGCATCAGTTCAAAACTTACATCCCACAAAATAAACATGTGGGATGATTTAAAATTCAGCTCTTGAACCATTCCTAGAATCGGTTCAATCATCATATCTCCCCCTTTTGATAAGAAATGACTAACTCCAATATTGGAATCATTCAATAAAATTAGTAGCCCACTTAAAAATTCGGCAGAGCAAACTAATTAATAGCTTAAAGACGAGTTTGCTGATTTGGTGCTTTTATGGTCGCTTCAAGACATCCTTAATGAGAACCAAAACCAATATCCGGTTTTTTATTCAAATAATTAGAAGCTTAATTAGTATAAATGAAGTGGCAAATTTAGGATTTTATTTAAGGGTGTTCGAAATTTGACTAACAATAATAGAGTTAAAATGATAGTAGGACGGGCACAAAAAATACGGGGGTTCAGGGGCAGCGCACCCAATTTTTTTCAAGGCTAAATAACGCAAGAGAATAAGTATTTGTACAATTTATGAACTAATATAGCATAAACTGAAATATAATAGGTTACTCCCAAGTATTTCACCATTGCACTAATTATAATGCCCGTGATATTTTTATAGTGAAAGAATTAAATATTAGGTCTAAAATATTGAGATGAATTGTATAAATTTTGCAACAAAAGAGCGAATATTTAATGCATTTTTAAATTGGCCTTTTTATACTTTTATAAGTTTATTATAAATATTAAAAAATTCATAAACAAATCTCAATCTCTCTCTCTCTCTCTCTCTCTCTCTCTCTCTCTCTCTCTCTCTCTATATATATATATATATATATCGACTAACAAATAGGCCCATGTCAAGGGATTTAAATTCACATTGGTCCAAAAAAAAAACAGTTTTTCAAATAAACACATCTCATCCCATGTATTTAGTCTAAAATACCCTCCATAATATAATTCTTATCAATTCCATCCATTATGCTCTAACTTCCTTAATATTACACATTGACCCGGATGTAAACAAATATATCACATAAACCCCCCATTTTAATAATTTTTTGAAAAAAATATTTTTTTTTCCAGAAAATAATTTTTTTTCAGAAGTTCTTTTTTTCCGGCCATATTCCGGCATTGACTGTTTTGTTTTTGTTTTTTCGAAAACTTTTGTTTTTCTGAATTTTTTTTCTAGCCGGTCAACCGCCGTTGACCGCACTCTCCGGTGTTGACTTTTTTTTCGATTTTTTTTCTGAAGTTTTGTTTTTAAAAAAAAAATATTTTAATTAATATTACTGTCCTGGCTGCTAAATTACTGTCTCAGACAATAATATTACTGTTTGGGACAGTAATATTATGAATATTATTTTCTCGAACAATAATATTATTAATATTACAGTCCCAAATAGTAATTTTATTGCATAAGACAGTAATATTACGGTCGGAGACAATAATATTACAGTCGAACACAGCAAAAATGCAGGCTAAGACGATAAAATTAATTAATACAGTAATATTACTGTCTTAGACAGTTAAACTACTATTGGAGACAGTAATTTAGCAGCCAAGACAGTAATATTAATTAAAATATTTTTTTTAGAAATTTGTTTTTTTGAAAAAAGAAAAAAAGTCAATTAACAATTAAATTACTGTCTCTGACAGTTAAATAACTGCTAAAGAGAGTAATTTAGCAGTCAAGACAATAATATTAATCAAAATATTATTATGAAGAAAAAAAACAGTCAATTAACAGTTAAATTATTCTCTCCGACAGTTAAATAACTGTTGGAGACAGTAATTTAGCAGCCAACAGTAATATTAATTAAAATATTTTTAAGAAAAAAAAGGGTCAATTAACAGTTAAATTACTAGCTCCGACAGTTAAATAACTGCTGGAGACAGTAATTTAGCAGCCAAGACAATAATATTAATTTAAATATTTTTTTTAAGAAAAAAATATAATAGTAATAATAAAAAAGTCCACGCCGGAGACCTGGCGGTCAACGGCAATTAACCTACCAGAAAAAATTTCAGAAAAAAAACAGTTTTGAAAAAAAAAAAAAAAAAGTCAACGGCGGCTGACCGACGGTCTCCGGTGGTGGCGGGTCAAAATTGAAATTATGGTCAAAATTAGTTAATTGGTGAAATTGGACTAAATTGGGGTGTAAATCATGAAATTGGAGTTGAATTGGGGGTAATTTTGGTATGTATAAAAAGGGTTTTCCATTATTTGCAAATTAGTTTGAATTCGCTGGAAATATCAAATATGTGAAAGACAAAAAAGTTGGATGTCCCTTTTTGAATTAAGTATCTTTGTCATTAGACCTATATATATATATATATATATATATATATATATATATATATATGGGGCTCTTTGAGAAAACCACCTCACTATTTTTTTTAGTTGAGGGAGGCCCAAAATATTTTAGTCCATTTGAGAAAAGTCCACACCCATTTTCAGCCATTATGTTTTCCAGCTTTACCCCCGCCCGCCACCTCATCACTGGGTCAGCGCTCCGCGATTTTTTTTTTCCGTTTTTTTAATCGACTATGACGCATAGTCGATTAGTCTTAAATCGACTATGCTTCATAGTCGATTAAGGAAAATCTTTAATTTTTAATTTTCTTTTGTTTCTAATTTTGTTTTTTAATTTTTTTTTGGTTTTTTTAATTTTTTTCTCTATCAGGTTTATTAATGCATAGTCGATTAAAATTTTAACTAATAAAAATAACAAATCACAATTACAAAAAAAATGCAAAATCAACTATATTTAAAAAAAAAATATATACAAACATTGTAATTGATTTATACATTAGAATCAATAAACAAAAAATCAAAAAAGAAAAAAAGAAAAATTAACAACTGGAGTCGGTTAACCTTAATCGACTACTGAACATAGTCGATTAAGCCTTAATCGACTATTGAACATAGTTGATTAAACACACGTAGTCGATTAAGGGCCCTGCCGGCGCGAATTTCTTTTTCTGTGCCGTCTTCCGCTACAATCCACCAAAAACCCTAGATCTGCTCTTCATCGTCACCACGTTGTCGCCACACCACACCATCACCACCCCACTTCCATATTCTAATGGTTTTTTTATACAAACAATCAAAACGGAACCATGTACTACGGTCAAAATCACCAAAACAAAGCCACCAACCAGAGCAGAACTACCCATCAAAATCCGATTCCAATCGACAATTTTACCTCTTTTCGCCACCGATGTAGCAATCGTGGCATTCGAACTCAGAATCGCTATCAAAATCATCATCATCTTTATGGCTTTTGTTAAGATCTGCAATGACGGCGACGGAGACGGCAACGGCAACGACGACGACGACTTCAACGGAATTGGCATCGTCGTTCTGGAGGTGAGGTCGGTGGTTGGTTCTTCATCTTCCGATAAGAGAGAATGAGAGAAAAGTATAACAGAGAGAAAAAAAAAGGTAGAGAAGAGACGACGAAAGAAGAGACGGAAAATATGAGAGAAATTAGGGTTTCAAAATAATACATTGACAAATAAGGGTAGATTTGG